GACGTGAGAGGGATCACAGCAGCAGATAAGATTGGGAAGAGAGAGGCTAGTGGGGCATAGGAACGATTAGGTCATATAGCACTTGGTAGGCATTACCTTACAGGCATGGCAAGGGTTTTGGCTTTCACTCTACGTGAGAAAGTGAGGCATTAGAGAGCTTGGAGAGGAGTCAAGTGACACGATTTGACTCATAGTGTGATTATTTGGTGGCTTACTCAACTGAGTTGTCAGCCCTCTGAGAACAAGAGTTATACACACTATACTTCCTGACATAGATTAGGTCGCAGTTGGCAAAATGGCTCCAGAGAACGTCTGATAGATGTGTGCTTCAGAGATCCAAAACAATGGTTATTTTGTCTTTGAGGTGCTTCAAAAATGTCTTATATTCAGTGTAGATCAGTTCTCTCTCAGTAGGTTCATCATAAAGGATTGAAATTTGCCATTTAGAGAAATTTCTCGTTATTCTTTCTGTTCCTTTTTTGTTAACTATGGGAGTCATTGCCTGTTTTTATTTCTCCACTTAGGCTGGTAAGGAAATTATGGAGTTGCTTTTCCTGGCATCATAAGAATAACAGTTACGTGTATTAGTCATGAGTCTAGCTGGATCTATGGATTCTATTTAGAGAAAAATGAAAGAAGGGCCACTTTGGGCTTGTTTAGTTGCTGGCAATGAAAATCTTACAGTAGCTCACCTTAACAGACTCTTCCAACTTGATTAATGTAATTACCTTTATTTTTGTTTGGACACAAACTTATGCCAGAATTAGAGAACAAAAGTCTACTTGAAGTCTAAAGATATCAGGGGGGTATATGCAAGGATGCAATGTAGATTAGAAATCAATAAAAGACATTCTCCTCTAAAGGCTTTCTTTTAGTCTGGAGGCAAAGCTCAAAGTTAAGCAGATGTCTCTGGGATGGCAGACCAAGGAAGATCTATCTTTAGGTGGGTTGCACAACATTTTAGTGGAATGAGTTCTAGTTGAGGGCACATGAATCACCTAGAGATTCTGTTAAAATGAAGATTATGATTCAGTAGTTCTGGGGTAGGGCCTGAGATCCCGCACTTCTAACAGGTTCCCAAACCAGCAGATGCTGCTGGTTTACATACCCCATCTTGAGTGGCACAGTGCTAGCAGAACTCTTATTTGGATAGATCCGTTAGTTTACTTGTGTTGGCAATTTAATCTTCAACGGATACAGATTACATAAGCATTTGACATTGAGGAACCAGCAGACAAGAAGTGCAGAGAAGAAATTAACTAATATTCCAAGAGATCCTTACCTTGCCAGCAACAGCCCTGGTTGCTTTACTTAGGCTATTTTATAGATGTTCTAAAAGGCACCTTGAGACACTTGTTTGGGTGATGGATTTGCATATGCAGAGACAAGACTTATGTAAAAACTCTATGTGGTATGATGACGGAGAGGACAGGAATGTAAATAATAAATGTGCCATTACTCATTATTAAAGGACCTACTCATGGATGATTATAATCCTTTAGCTGAAGGTCCAGACAGGGAAAAGATGGAGAAGGTACCTCGAACAGCTTTTTCAAGGTCATACAGTCTATGAACACTATTGCAAAAATTAAAGTCTATAAGCTTGATGCCCTCCTCCTTGCAATATCATGCTGTTTTCTGTGAGTGTATTTTTAACCAAGTCCAGAGAGAGACATCAGTACAAATTTTATGTCTTGGCCATGCAAACTACAGAGTGCTTTAGTAAATGCAATTTGGTATGGGGTGTGTGTGTGTGTGTGTGTGTGTGTGTGTGTGTGTCTGTGTGTGTGTGTGTCTGTGTGTGTTGTGTGTGGGGGGGGGGTGAAAGGAGGATGTATGGATGTGTATATTGAATAAGAAAACATCATATCCTACAGTATTTTAGGAATGGTCTTTTGGCAGGAACTTTTTTATATGCCACATTTAAAGAAAGAAAAACTGGATTTAGTAAGACTAGTGAAAAGAAAGGTAAAATGACATCAAATGAAGTAATAGTGGCCAAAGTCAAGTATGTGTCAATGGACAGTAGAAATAAAACAGAAGCAATGAATTTAAAAGAATTCAAAAATATAAAAATATTGGAACTTTGTTATTGATTGGACAGAAGAAATTATGGAGGTGGGTATTTAAAAATGATTTTAAGTCTCTGTCTATGCTGTTTCTCCATATGTTTCTGGCTTACAGTAGGCATAGGAGTAATTAAAATCATGGGTTTGATGATTAGATCTGACCTGGATTTAAATCTGACTTCTTCACATATTAACTGCATGACTTTGGCATGTAACTTATTTTCTCTAAGTCTCTCACAGGGTTTTTTGTAGGGAATTGATGAGATAATCTATCTAAAATACTGAATATAGAGCCTGATCACATATAGGTAAGATATAGAATCTGGATATATGGGAGAATGATTGTGTCATTATCTGCAATGAGTCTTCAAGGATTTTGATATTGATTTCAAAGCATGTGAAATGGTATGAGCAAGGTGTAGAGGCTGTCATGAATATGACTTGTCCATGTACTATGATTTATGGATAGTGCATGAGGTTCAGAATTGGGCCACCAGTGTTCAATTTCCAACTTGACCATAGTGACCAAATACTGATCTCTGGGTGAGGAGGATATGGTTAAAATTTACAGAATGGGAAATGTGAACAATGTCCAAGGCAAACTATGTCTAGTTTTATGCTCAGAGTTGGCTTCCATCTCTATAAAATACTACTGAGTGACACCAAGTTAAGATGCAGGAGAAAAAACAGGACTGAGGAAAGAAGTGACAAATACAGTGTAATAATCAGGACAACTCTACCAAGGCCAAGTAGGCAAACTAGAATGAGGAAGCCTCAGACTTCAGGGACACAGAGTCCAAGAAAAGAGCATGTGGGACATCCAATAGAGTAGAGGAAATAGGGAAATAATTATTGTCAAATTATCAGACAACCATCAAATTCAGGAAATTCATAGGAACTAAGGAGCATAAAGGCTGGTAAGGAAACATATATGAAACATGGGTGATGATTCTGATACTAAAGCTACTTGCTATCTAGAGGAGTTTCTTTTTTGGTCTCACCCTGGAGGTTGATGATCCCAAGAGAGAAGATCTGAGTGAAAGTCTCCAGGCTAGGATAACCCAGATTATCATCCTGCCAGCAATACAAGGGTCAGGGTCTCTGGCAGAGGGATTCTCTTAGCATATCAAGTGAATTTAGTGACATTTCTCCTCTCTGCCTTCATCTTTTTGCCTACTCCCACCAAGCTTAGCTCCTAAAGCTCCATGTTGGTTTTAGAACCTGGTGGGCCCCGAGTACTAGAGTTGTTGCATTGATTTCCTACCTCACAAAGGAGCAGAAGAGAAGGAGAAGGTAGAGTAGGAGAAGGAAGGGGAAATAAAACAGGAAGTCAAGTGAAAAAGAGAGACAAGAAATCTGGACAACTTAGGATCATGACCCAAATATCAGGTGTCTCCCTCATTATAGGTGGTTATAGAAATCAGTAGCTGCTGAGGCTTTGTTCTTATGCTGAGTTTACTGCAGGGATACTGCTCTCATACATATACTCCACGGTGCGACTTCATGCATAATTGGATGTTACTTGCTCATTTTTTTCCCTCTTGAGAGAAATCAGAGTTTCTTAAGTGGGAAATATTTCTCAGCCTGGGGAAGATAGAGACTTTTCTCACTCTGTACTTCCCTAGTTGACATAAATATGAAAGGCAACTGGGAAAATATCGATTGAAAAAGTATTGCAGAGTGGCATTTATTCAAGCCTCAAAATGTATCAGGTGGTTTATAGAGCAGAGAGATAGACATAGTCCCTTAAGGCTTAAATTGTGAGCATCAGTGTTGATTGAGGAGAGCTAATTTACTATATTCAGAAAGGAAATGGTGTTGAGAAGAATGATTACGGCAAAATGCTCAGCCAGAGAAAGTATCACAACTTTTTATTGAATTGTTGTTTGGGATGTTTTTGTAAATTTATCAATCATTTTGTGACATTTTACAGTGTAACAAGGTTTTGGTGTTTGTGAAACATCATTCTGAAATTGCCCCAAAGTAGATTTCTCTGTCTCTCTCATCAAACTGACATTGCGTACAAGTTTATGAATCTTGAATGACTAGTCTAGCTAAAACTCTTTTGGTTGCAAGTTACAGAAGTAAATTTGAGTTTTAAAAAGTAGGAAATCTTGTGTTAAAAAAAGGAAAGTCTCAGGGAGCCTCAGGACAAGAAATTCAGCTGGGCCCCAGGAATGTTTTAGAATTCAGTTCTGGAAAGCCCCCTAGTGTCTCTTCTCTCTAGGCTCCATGCACTTTGCTCTCTTTCTTGATCTCATCTGATATGCTTTTTATGGCAGGTTAAGTCTTTCTTATAGTTCCCAAATTGACATATTATAATTTCAACCTTCCCAAGAAATTTCAGAATGGTCTATTCCTTTTCCACATTCTTGGAAGAGAAAATCTGGTTTCACCTCCCTAGCCTTTTAGGTCAGAAGGCCATCCCTGGTTTCATTATACATAAAATGAACATAGTTTCCAGGGACCCAGCTCTGTGGATGTTGGGGCATGGGGGGTAGTTTCCAGAAAAATAAATTGTTAAAGGCTTTGAGACTGTGCCAAATTCATCTCTCCTTACCAGAATGAGAATGCTGCCTGGTGCTAAGGACATTCTCCATAAATATTTGTCAGATGAAATATTTATTGGCTGAATGAACTGGTGAGGATATAGAAACACATTTGGCTAGATAAATGAGGAAGGTTTTTGCATTTTGAATGTCATGATAATAGATCTTTATGAGTTCATTGATGTAATGGTTAACTTTAAAGTTATTTTAGTTAAAATCATTTGATTTCTAAGCTGATCTATGTATTGGTAAAATCATTTTAAAATTTAAAAATTATCATTTTTTTGTGAGAACATTTGAATAACTTAATGATATACATATTCATTCATTTTAATGGTATTTATTTCTTTATTTTTAAAAATGTTATTTGACATTCATGAAGACTAAGCCTGGAGTGATTCGCCCAGTACCTGTAAAATCCAAAATATTACTGAAAAAAGAGGAGGAAATTTATGAACCCAACCCTTTCAGTAAATACCTGGAAGATGATAGCGACTTCTTTTCTGAGCAGGTGAGCATACATAAGACAAAGTCTTTGATATTTTGACAAATAACTGTATAAGTAATGGAGATGCCTCTTGAGTATAGTATGTGCAATAAAATGTTCATTTTATTGGAGTATACTTAGTAATAAGAAAAGTTCTAATTTTTGCATAATAAAAAGAAATTCATATATTCCTAGGATGATATCTTGAAGTATTTCAAATTAAAAAAAAAAAAAGTTTTTTCTACCTACTGCTGGCATTGTTTTGGGAACCACTCTCCATAAAAAAAAGGCATCATGAAGTCACTGGTTGGATGGGTCATATAGGTGTTGCATTCTTATTTTTAAATTCCTGCATCTTTTTTTAAGAGCTGCAATATTTGATATTTAGCAAAGGATCTATTGTACAGATGCATAGTAACACAGTAGAGATGATACGAACCCCTAGATTGAGCAGTAATAGGGGATAGGAGTTTAATATATTTTAAGGCTTTTTTGGTCATTTGGTTTATATGTAAAAAAGGTATATTGTCTTCCTCTTATATATCTTATATGTTGGAGGAGGTATAATGGAAGATTTTTGATGGTACTTTGTAAGCTATTAGGGAAACATATGAAAATACACATTTATGTAGTATAAAAGTCCATAAATTATTTCAGAGAGGAACTCTGAATCTTTATTTATCCTATTAAAATGCAACAAATAGGCATGGGTTGTATATTTTATATCTCAAATACCATTCTATGGATAAGCAGTGGAAGCAATCTAGAAACCTTTCCCAATACAACCAAGGAATGTAGAAACACTACCCTTGGTAATGTGTAATAAAATATACTTATGAAGGAATATAAGGTGATATACTCCTTTTAAATTTCACTTTGGAAATGATAATTAAGAATATTCTTGAAATATTTGTGAATCATAAGGAATATCTTATCTTCCACATACGAGCTCTATAACATCTCTCTAGCCGTCAGTTTCTTCGTGTATAACATGAGGCATTCAGATCAGGTACTTTTTAAAGATCCTTCAAATTAAAAAATCTGGGTTTCTTAAAATCTAAGATTAACACTGATTGTGTCAGAGGTCCCTGAGTAGCCTTATAAAAATTCACCATAAATTGTTATACTTTTTACTTATAAAATGGAGGTGATATTTCCTGTTTATTTACATGTATTTTGTAAAGACTGATATGATTTGATAATTAAACATTTTAGAAGGCACTAATATCATTGAATATGATAATTAAAGGCAGTTATTTTCAGTATATAGAATAAAATGTAGTAGTCAATTTAAGTTAGAGAAATCTTATTGATATAAATAGGATTGTTATCACTAATTCTACATGTAACAGAAATGAAAATTCATCATTAACAAAAACACTTGTTAAATATCTATTGCTTGCATGACACAAATATGTTAGAGGCTTAATGTGACATTTTAGACAGTATGGGATCATTATAAAAAGTATAAAAAATAATGTAGTCAAATGACAAAAATGCCAACAGTTAAAACAAACTTCACATATTATCCATGTAACTTACATTCTTCAAAATACCATCTAATGTTGTAAAATAATGATTTTGTCCTTTTATTTAGTATAATTTCAAATTTATGCATTTTAATTTAAACAAAACTCATTGTAGAATATCAGGTTATCTATTTATCACAATTTGCTGTCTTCAGAAATGATAAATTCTATTTTCAAGTTTAAGAAATTGTCACTAAAAGGAGTTGCCATTTCTTTTCATTGCTTTTCCTAACTATACAGCAAGTTTAAAGCTCTGTTTATGTACAACATAAGCCTATGAATTTCCAGATACTTTGTGGAAAATTTGAATTCTTTTGCAAATATGGAGGTGCCATAGACATAATCATATTTATATATATTTTTCAATCAATTTATTCTTGTTTATATCCCAACTTCTTTGTGGAACATAAAAAGGGATCTGCAGGCTGTCAGAATTGAAAGAAGTATGGCATACTACTTAAAAGTGAATTCCAAACATTGCCTGGTCTTACTCATTAACCTTGTATGAGAGGGAAAATAATAGAAACTCGGGGTCCTTGCATACTGGGCAACTACATGTACTATCAACTGGTCTCTTTTTATTGAGTTCTGACTACCATCTTGGTGTGTCCAGAATCTACAATGGAGAAAGATAGCAAAGGCACATCGCAAGCGCAGATGCTTAGATCTACTTAAACTATCAATTGAGTAAGAGCAATTTATAATCTCAGCATTGCCACTTCATTAGAAGTTGAATAGAAGACAGTGCACTCAAGTTCACCAGTCACTATTGTGTTCTCCTTTACTACTGCCACAGAATAAATTGAATGGTTCTAAACTCAGTTGATCTCACCCACCCATGTAATGGAAAATTCTTTAGCCAGACAGTTGGGCCAAATTGAAGCAGCTCACATTCACTAATCTGCCTTGTACTGGGGACAGTTCCACATGACAGGAGATGCTGGATGGGATTGTTAAGTCAATAAATTTCCCCTAACAGCTTCACTGCCATAAAATATGATTTCAAAACTCTCTGTTACAAAATGTCAGACACTAAAGATGATGAGACCAGACGGAAATGTATTTACTGTAGCTTAAAAAGGTACAAGCAGGCAGCCTTTTGAACTGATAATGAACTGAAAATGTGCCTGGAGACAGCCTCTGAGTACTAAAAGCAAAGTTTGAAACCAAATGCATAATCAAATAATTGAGACTTATTAATCAACAGCTTTTACATCAAAATGGCATAGGCCAGGAAGCATCATTCTGTATTAGATGGGTTTTGTAACAAAGACTCTTCAGAATGAAGCTTATGCTTTTTTGAAATTACCTTTAAATCCATTATTGTATCAATCTGTGGTCCTTTTGACTTATTGCAAAATATCTCACACTCCACGTTTGTATTTAAAACTATGGTGATGTACTTTGAAGCATACTCTATGGATGATCAAGGTCAGAGTTGGAAAGTAATTAACAGAATTGATTGGACAAATGGGCATCCAGAAGACACTGAGGCTTAGAAAATCAATTCACTGATGAGAATTAAGATACTAAGGAGCCCAATGAGTTTTAGTTTGTCTGACTATTTGTGAGTTGGCAAAATACATTGATTGTTTTCTGGTCATTTAGTGTATCTAATTAGATAAAGGTGATTTCTTCACTTAAGATCCTCAATTTAGTATAAAGAGCAATTGCTAACCTCACTTGTATAGAATGTTATATGGAATATTCTCTTGCGTTCTTTATAAATTAGTAACTGAATCCATAATATTAAATATGTCATTTTCTTCTTAAACCTTAGAGAATTATATAAAAGAAAGCTTTGAACAGAATTAAGGAGGAAATATTGTTAACTCATCTGATTTTCCTGGAACTTTTCTTTTTAATGAGAAAGAACACTTCCCAGACGTGTGCCTCTTCATTTTTATTTTCCTTCTAATTTGCTTCAATAAGCAAAAGAACATGTTTTGTGTGAAAATGACCATTTAGTGAATTTCCTCCACACCACTTCACAGAGAACATAAAGGAATAATTATAAGGAATTTTCTTTTTTGCAGTATTTTCAGTCTTTCTTTTCTTCTGATTTTTCTTAGACATCTGACTTCCCTACCAAACTCTCTGTTTGACATTCAGCTTTGATGATTATGTGGGTGACTTTCACATTTCTATCTAATTATTCATAAAGTTGGATTTCTACTGTGACCTTCCCTTTCACTTCCTTGTGTCATGCACATGTTAATATTACAGAGCAAGTACTCACCATTGTCCTAGGTGAAACTGACAATACCGCCTTTTATTCCAAATGACTTCTGGCTTTGTCATAAATTGCTGCTTTTTCAATAATTGTTTCTCAATCAAGATGGCTTGCTTTTTTTGTCATAAAAATATCTTTTATCATTGCTAACCTTTAATTAGAAATATTTTTGAATTTAAAATGTTTAACCTATTTAGGTCTAGAAGTGATTAAGTGGTTTTCTGAATTGTTTTAAGGGAGGGAGAATTGAAATTCCTTGTGTTACATTTCTTTTGGAAGGGTTAAGACCAGAGATTTGGTTTCTCCACATTTTAGCAAGTTTATTCAAGTAATGAAATCTTTGTGAGTTTTTTCTTCTTTGTTTTGTCTTCCTCCCTCCCTTCCTTTCTTATTTCCTTCCTCCCTCCCTCCCTTCCTCCCTTCCTTCCTTCCTTCCTTCCTTCCTTCCATCCTTCCTTCCTGTATATGTAATAGGTAATAGACAATTTATCACAAATAGGTAGTATACTGCATGTAATAGATAGTTTATCAATATAATAAACTGTTTTTCTTTTCTTTTAAAAAAGTGTTCTAGAGAGACAGAATTTGCTTTTTCTCTGGAATGTAATCAAATAGGATCACCTCTTCAAATTAAAAATTTCATCTCTCCCTTTTTTTTTTTTTTTTTTTTGGTTTAAGCTTTCTCTTGACCTTGTGTAATTATTGAAGTTGGGAGACTGGAATCAGGGTTGCAATTTTCTGTTGCAGTTGTCTACAAGCTAAGAGAAACTTATTTTCCTGTCCCCCTTCCTTTGCCTTCTGTAGGGTTAAAGTCTAGAAGAGATTCTTACTTGCTTTAAAACAAGCAAACGCACAAAGAGGACCCATTGCCACTTTGATCATGATAGATAGAATTATTCTAATAATTCTAATAATTAGTTAAGCAACTGAATTCTAATAATTAAACTCTGAGGCAATAGTTGCTTAACAAATATTGGTAGATATGGGGTATCTGACCATACCCTAATCTACCAGGGAAACAAAGACAATCTGAAAGCTTTATGCAAATGTGGTCTTTGATGTTTTGTTAATTCACGATGTCCCCATCTATCTTTATTTAAGAGGAATGGCACTGCCTTATTTAGAAACTCTCATGTAAATCATGTTCCAGTTTTAAGATAAGGTCTTGTGCAAATTAAATATTCTGTGTTATTTTTCTCTGATGAATGTCAAAAGAGAGAAGGTAGCTGTGTAAAAATATTTTAAGTAATATCCAGAGTAAA